GAGTGGGATATTTAAGTTACTGTTTTCTCCATTGGACTTGTTTAATTGATTGCTGTAGGTAATTACTATTATTCTTTTTTTTACTTTCATACTAATTTAAGTACCGAATCAAAAGTATAACTAATAACACCGGATCAAAGTTAACTGTACAGAGTCTAGGGTGGTTGCCCTCTTATCTCATTACCATGACATCTACGCAAACAATCACGAAAACAAAACATTGAACGACTCAAAAATATACAAAAGCATATTCAGCATGATGGAACAATCATGGAGCAAGGAAAGAAACCGGATGAGTATATCTTTAGTAAAAGCAGAGTTACATGTTCTAGCAAACTTCAATGTATCATGTAAAAACTTTTATGATTTTGTGATGAAAACCGACAAATATTAGATGCTGCTCGAAATCAAAGTAAATATAAATTTAAAAATGAATAAGTGATTGAGATTTTCTTTCATTTCGGTTACCCTCTGTCGCCTCTTCCGACACCATTTTTATTTCCTACATCGCCACTACATTGCATGGCCGCAAATAACAATTATTACAGCTCTGAATGTTTATACGCGTGCAATTTATGTATGTACATATGTGATATGTGATACTTCTCCACAAGACGGAATCAATCGTAGTACGGGGTTTTTTTAGCTTCTCGTGTATCTATCTATCTATTAATCTATCTATCTACGAGTATCTATCTGTCTATCTATGTAACGGAATCTTTAATGTAATTTTCACCAACTTGTAAACGGCCGATTGACTTGAAAATTTGCACTCGTATCAAGGACCAATGACAATACAATAATTTAAAAACTTTACCCTAGTATCCTTATCAGGATCACCAGTATTATCACAGCTGATGATCAATGCGTATTGCTTAAGTTTTTTTTTAACTGTTATATTATTTTAACGATAAGAAACAAGTATCACACTTCTCATTCGGAATGACTCGTAAAATAATAAATTTAAAATATTACTGCGGTAATTAAGTAATGACAACCGACAGCCAATGGGGAAAAAAGGTTCTCGAGTGGCGGCCTCGTACCGGCGGGTGAAGTGTAGGGCGTCCCCCCACTAAATGGGGTGACGACCTGGAAAGATATGGAGGAAGTCGATGGATGCAGGTGGCTCAGGACCGTGCTTTGTGGCATTCCTTGGGGGAGGCTTATGTTCAGCAGTGGACTTGTGAAGGGCTGTAATGATGATAATGATGATGAATTAAGTAATGAGATACGAGCTCACATTAAAATAAAAGTAATAATAAATTCAAATACTAGTATAAAACGGCAACGTTGCATAATTTATTAGGTGTTAAATGTTATCAACGAATAATAGAATGTTAAGCCGGCGCCATATACAGATTAAGACATTTGAACACTTGTTTGAATCAATGTCCAAATAAGTGCGCAAAGAAATGCACTTTGCAAGCGATTTCGGTTTTTCAGCGCACATCAAAGTATTCAAAGTCGACAGTGTTCAAATTTTTGCGTAGCCTACCACACTTGCGCAAAGTTCAATCGTAAAATATAATATTAAGTAATATTCTCTTTGTAATGTATGTTGACAAGAGATCCATTAGCGCCTGCTTTATGGTCCTTTTGATAGATTTTTTTGCACATGTAATAAATAATGACATGCAATTAAATAATACAGGCACACTGCATCCACAAAATCGTCGTCCATTTTGTTTGTCGTGTATCAACGTGCTGTAGAGAGATGTGTTTGCATAGCATGTCTGGCAGGTTGCGCCAATAAGCGTTCAAATAAGTGTGCAAAGTCCTTCAAATAAGTGTTCAAATGTTGTTGCTATATCTGGCGCCGGCCTTAGAATAACGTGATTACAGTTTATGTTTTTTTTTTTATTATAATAACACGTTTTGAATATAAATGTCATTTTAATGAAGATGTTTTATTAAACAAGATTAGACTTTATAACTTGAAGTATGTAAATATAATATAAAGTTGAAATTAGTGTCGGGGGATTCAGCGTTTAAAATAAAATTGGGGAAATCAAATCCATGTTATTACCAAAAAAAAATAGTATATAAAAATCCAAACAAAATTCGGACATTTGGCAGGTTTAGATATAACTAAATTATGTGTTTGAAAGATTCTAGCAGGGAATTCTGCTGTGATTCGTATGATTAGTGACGACAAGAACCTGCGAACTCATTTAACGGAAATGATTGAATAAAATTTATGGGAATTTTGCGTGGTAGAGTCATACTGCAGCTATATTACGGTTGTAGCATAAATGGGTCGGCGCGAGCGGCGAAGGACCACGCTTATACAGAATACCAGCGTCAAAAAATTACGTACAGGGCTAAACATCTCGGCACGCCGGGATGACTCCCCGAAGTTGCATGCAACATCAAAGGGCTGTTGAGCTTTTTCGGGAAGATCTCATGGCTCGAATAATCCCATTATTCCTGCCCACACGCAAAATACGCGCATAGACGTGGAGTTGCGGAAAACAGCCCGTCGTAAAGTACCAGCGTCAAATAGCAGCTTAACGCTGCTGTTTCGTATGGTTAGTGTCTACACTACACCGGTTCTCTAGAACTAGATACCTTTTTTACTGGAAACGAGGCATTCCATCTTAGTCCTCACGGAGACAACGCATTTGTATTTTGATACTTAATCGAGGATTGGCGTAAATTTCTATTTGTCCACAGCATCCACTTACCACCATGTGGACTGTGTGCTCATTTGTCACTCATATTCTATAAAAAAACGAGACATTCAATCTTAGTCCTTGTGCAACAACACATCTACATTTTGTTCCCTAATCAAGTATAGACCGTAGGTGTCTTTGGGCCTAAGTGGAAAAGAATATCCACTACGTAATCATTCTGCGGTTGTCGTAAGTAAGAAGTGATGGAGACCAACGAAACAGAGCTGAAGCAACTTCCTGATGACAACTATTAATAATTAAAAAACTACGGTTGCCAACACGCCTGCCATGCATTGTAACAATGGCTAACATTTTTTCACCATTAGTCCACCTGATGGTAAGTGGTTGCTGTGGCCCATAGACATCTACATTTATCCTCAATAAAGAATAAAAATGTAGGTGCGTCGTCACCCATGAGGACTAAGATAGATATGCCTCTTTTCCAGTAAAATGGGTCTCTGGTTCACTACACTCACCATACGAAACACAGCAGTGTCAACCTGCCATTTTACGCTGGTATTCTGTGAGAACGTTGTCCTTCCCCGGTCGAGCCGACCCATAAAACAACTATTAATAATAAATAACCTACGGTTGCCAACACGCCTGCCATGCGTTGAACTATGGCTAACATCCCCCCTATAAGGCAATCTATGGGGAGGCCTATGTTCATCTGTGGACTTTTGATAGGCAGTAGTGATCATGACGATTACAATATACATGAACACAGGGGCGTAGCTACCGCCGTATCAGCCGTATCAATGATACCGGGCGTCCGGGCTACAGAGGCCCCGAACGTGTGTAAGCAAAAATTATAAAGACTCTTACGGGGCAGGATGTTGGTTTTAATTGTTTGGCTGCTAGCTTAGTTCCTAGGAGTATTAATTGTAAGTAATAACTTATAATCAATATATAAGTAATTTATTTCAATGCGAGAGTTTTTGTTTCTTTTGTGAAATATCTTCACCCTTCATTTGGGCCCCCCGACAAATTTCGATACAGGGCACGCTACTCCACTGTATGAACATATTATGTGCCAACGGTTATAACCGTATTATTGACATAATATAACCGCTAAGTAGTACTACTTTCGACTAGACTAAGCTAATCTTATCCTTGAGTTACATAAACGCATGTACAGATAAGGTAAATGTCTATACCACATGTCATTTTACAACGTTCATAATAACTATTTATCTGTAATTTTCGTATTAATCTTATCTCAAAGCAATAATTAATATTATCTGCAATGAATGGTATTGTCCTACTGACCAAATTCAGCGATGGTGACAAATTCTGAGGAATCAGAAGCTATGAACTGCACACGAATTATTAGTGTCACACAAGTTTTCAACGTCGAGCTGTGCTACAGCTATATTATGGTTGTAGCACAGAATACCAGCGTAAAATAGCAGCTTAATGCTGCTGTGTTTCGTATGGTGAGTGTATAGAACCGGAGACTCTTTTTACCGCAAACGAGTCATTCCATCTTAGTCCTCAAGGGTGACAATGCATTTTGATTATTAATTGAAGATAAATTTAGATATCTATGGGCCATAGCATTCACTTACCATCGCATGTGGACTGAGTGCTTATTTTTCACCCTTATTCTATAATAAAAAAGTGTAGAAATTTGTGATCACAGTACCTAAATATGTGATCTAGGGTGTTGGTTTTCAACACTTTCAAAAGTATACCTGTTATCACTTAATCAAGTAACATGAAAGTTATTTTTTATTTTTGCTAGAACTGGTACAACCTAGCTTATCGCCCCGTACCCGCTTGACGTTGATTTTCGGAACAGCCTGTATACTAATAGACCGGCAATCTAAAACAAAAATTGTACCACAGCACTCTATCTCGCGCGGGCGCCGTCTGGGCGGGTTACTGGCACAGTAAATATACAACGAAGTTTTATTTTCATTTACTACAGTTTACTGTTTTAGGCAAAAACGAAATAAAGATGTATACCATAACTGAAATAAATTCAAAACACGTTGACAAAGAGCGCACGTAAAAAATTACAGCGTTTTTTGGTCACATTAAACAAAATCAGTGTAAGATTGTCAAAAACAATGTTCGCGGTTTACAAAACAAAGAACTAGTCTTCTTGTCTACTCGCAGTCGTCTAAAGAAGCTAGGGATAATTGACCGTAACTTAGGGCGCATACCTTATACATAGAAGTGTTTAGTTTGGCACATAAATTGGCTTCAGCCAGGATTCTATACTATGATCCGTGAGATAGTAATTAAATGTGCTGACCACTATGCCTTGTAAGGAACACATAAAATTAATATTTAATACATTTAATAAAAGATTTGTGTAAATACCTGCTTATGTCTAATTTTGGAAGATGCCTGGTAGGCTGCCTCCAGTTTGGGGTTATTTGGTGCTTTCTTTGGTCTTGTGTTCTTAATACCTAGTGATTTTCCAAACGGCGCGAACCAATATCTAAAACAAAAAAAAGTTTACCACTTCAATATCAATGCTTATACATAACCAAATTTTTTGTAACTGCCATAACCGACTTAATATGAGGACAGAATTCTATAAGAGAAAATAATGAACACGAGAAAACAAGGAAGTTACATGTTTACTCTAGAATTAATTAATATGACACCTTGAATGCTAAGATCAATGAGTATTGCAATTTTTTTATGAATGTAGTGATTGAAAAGCCTACAGTCCACTTTATGACAAGTCTCAGCAGCCAGTAGAAACCAGCAACAAATTTCAAACAAAGAAGGCTACAAGACTTGTTGGATACAACATCAGACTGGAATACAGTACGACATCATTGGTAGCAGAAATAGGAGAGGCTTCTAGGAAGAAAATATGTAGTAAGAAATAATAACAATTAATTAGTGGGTGAAAATTGGCCTGTTAACAAACTAATTAATTATTCTAGGTATGCAATAAATAATTCAATTGTTTCACTTATATATTAAATCATCATCATCAAATTTTCTAAAGGTTAAACTTTTTGTAATCTTACTTTTTTGTAATCCTTAAGGGAAGTAGCGGGCCAACACGATTATCCTCTGATTACTCACTGGGAAGTCTCAGTATTATGTTGTTAATAAGATTACCGAAATAAACGTATTATTTATTATATCATTATTTATTACATTATAATTTATTTGGTAAATAATTTTTATCACATCATTGAAAACTCAACCCTTTGCATTTTTATTTATTAAAACAATCTTCTATTGTAATCAGAATACTGCTACTGATCTTTTTAATTATGCAGGTGATTTCACTTTCATCATATCAAACCAATACAACTGATATTATTTTCATTAATAGTTTATAGAATAATTTATTCTTTTTATTTAAATTTTAACCTATTTAAAAAATAGGAGGAGGCTCTACATTCAACTGTTTTTAACTTCCTGCTCTGAAAATCAATGATTATCAAAAAATCGGGAAGTTATTGATTTCACCTCGGTTTTCGAAAATCAGTTCTCAACAGATCTTCACGTTTTGGTGTCCTAGGAAGTATTATTCTGATTATTCCATCGAGGATGTACTTTCATATGTATGTATGTATGACGGATCAATATGCAGTTCATCACATTCGAAAGAGTCCTATTGCCATTAGATTCCATGTGAATTTGAATCAATTCAGCTCAGTAGATTTTGAGAAATCTCTAAAAATTTTTTTTTTTATAAAATGTTTTTTTGAGATAACTTTTTAACTAATGTATCAATCAATTCGAAAATCTAATCGGCTCTTAACCTCAATAAACAAGATCAATTGCCACAAACAGTGTCAGAATCGATTCATTTGTTGAAGAGAAATTCAAGAGATTTCAAACTTTAAAACTTATATACTTTTACATCTTGGTACAATACACTACCCTTTGATATATTTTATTCATCAGTCATGCAGGTTATCTCACAATGTTTTCTTTCACTACTAAGCTGGTGGTAAATCAGCACTTAGGATTGCAACTAACAGTTTCATTGGTACTAGTGGCAATTTAAGTAAGGTTGTACCAACAAGAACATATAACATCACCACATGGCAAATATATATTTTTTTTAAATGTTACCTCCACACTAGAATTTTCCACTGTATTGCAGGGACAGTTTACATACATAGATTTCACAAGGACAAACATCCAGACCCAGAACAATTATTTGTAGGCCATACAAATACTTGTTCCATGTGGGATTTGAACGCACAGCCCTTAGCGCTGTAACTCATTGCAAAGCCACGGACCCATCAATAATACGTGTTTAATTTTGATATTATATCTCTAGTTCAAGATATTGCTCAAAATAGGATAGGAATTCAAAATAAAGACTTAAATATGGCACAGAACATAGGTCTCAGGTTGGTTACAAGCATGTCTGTTTGAAAATATCCTTTCCTTTTGTCTTTATGTTAGTAACTTAGGGTAAACCCGTAGCCATACCCACAAACCCCAATGCTAGATAAATTCAATGGAATTTGTGTTACAAAATGTTATAAATAATAAAAGATAATTTGCCATCATTCGGAAATTACGAAAAATAATTATGCGTATATTTATTATTGCTAAATACATATTAACAATTAATAATCAACGCAAATAAAGTATTGGCGCGTAGTCTGAAATTTTTATATAGTAATTGTATTTGGAAGTTCCAATGTTCGAACCGACAATATGGGCAATCTCATTGCTGAACATCTAATAGATAAAACATACTAACGCAGTGAACATTACATGAGGTGAAATATCGGCATACTGGCATAAATTTTAATGATGGAAATCACTGAAGTGTAATACTCACTTTTCAAGTAAATGTCGCAGACCTATGAGTACTATTGCCATTGGTATAGGATAGAGAAGGCAACTGTGATCATTATACAGTACAGCTTTATCAGGACCAGGAGCTATATCATCCCAAGTTGTATTCGCCGGGAGCCAAATATCTTCGTCCCAAAATTTATCTAATAACGATCGCAACATTGTCAAATTTTTACTTTATACACAGAAACGTTCACACTTAAACCTCACAAATTTTCACTTCTAAATAAACGGATATAAATACGAAATCGCTTCATAAACATAAATACAACTATTTATAATCAAATACTGCGGTTCACAACTGCGGCTGCGGTTGATTTGATTGAAGTTGAACAAACCGCAAACGTCAAGTCCAAAGAGTATATAATCACTGACTCAAAGAGTATAATAAATATATATACATACTGGAAGACTGTATATACACTCTTATCTATGGGAAGACTGACTAAAAAGTAGTCTAGTCTGTAATATCATTAACAAATATACTACCTACTCTTTATAATGGTGGCACATCACATGGCTATTTGTATTTGCGTATTTTCTGTATTTGACAAATAATTTCCATGTGTGGAAAGTATATTTGCCATACTTATTGTCGTATTTGCCTATTTGGCAATTGGCAAATATAGCCAATAACAAATACGGCTTACCGATCGTCTGTCGATTTTTCAAGATTCATCAAAGGAGACAAATAGGCAAATACGCAAATATACTGGCCACACATGGTCGGGCTCATAAGCGCGCGAACTGTCAACTAGTACGGACGGACCTGTTTATAACCTCTTAATAAGTGATTATTTAGATACCTACGGAAAATGAATTGGGACAAAGAAACCGTTGTAAGGTTTCTAGAACTTTACCAAATGAACCCATGCATTTGGAACCCTGTAAACGAGGGGCATAAAAACCGGCAACGAGTAAACGACGCGTGGAATACCATTAAAGACAATTTGGATGTACCATGTACCCTGCAAGTTTTTTAAAAATAGGAGTCGCTTATGTCTGCGTATCGAGGTTACGAAACCAAAATATAGAACAAGAGAACGATCCCGATCAGGTGCAGCCGATGTATACCAACCAAGTTGGTTTACGTTTGCATTTGCATTTATGGATAGTTAGATTTTTATGCACAGTCAGCATCCTGTATAGAAATCCTGTATAGAACAATAATTATACTTTTTGGTCGGCATCCACCATCGCCTTGCTCTTGGTCGTTTTTTCATAACTTTGTATTTTTTACGCATACCATATAATAGTAAAATGCGTTCAAATAATAAAATCCAGCTGCAAGTGCAACGTCCATTTTGTAGGTACAACTACTTTCTGCCAGCAAACATGTTTAATTTTCTGGTATTTGGCTCCATGCGTAGCGGGTTTTTTTTTATAGAAGAGGGGGCAAACGAGCATGCGGCTCACCTGATGGTAAGTGACTACCGCCACCCATGAACAACCGCAACACCAGGGGAATTGCAGATGCGTTGCCGGCCTTTTAGAAAGGTGTAAGCTCTTTTCTTGAAGGTTCCTAAGTCGTATCGGTCCGGAAAATTCGCTGGTGGTAATTGATTCCACAAGTAAGTTGTGCGAGGGAGAAAACTTCTTCTAAATCACACAGTGGTGGACCGCCAATCATCCAGATGGTATGGATGGTAACGTGAGTTTTGTCGCGATGTGCGATGGTGAAATTGAGCGGCTGGAATTAGTCCGAACAATTCCTCAGAGCACTCCCCGTGACAGATGCGATAAAATACGCAGAGAGATGCAACATCTCTACGCAGTGCCAGTGTATTGAGCCGATCAGAAAGAACTCGGTCGTCGACCATTCGAACCGCTCTGCGCTGGATGCGGTCAAGTGGAAGGAGCTGGCACTGGGGTGCCCCGGCCCAGAGATGAGAACAGTATTCCATGTGGGGACGAACTTGCGCTTTGTAAAGTTGCAATCGATGTGCCGGCATGAAATACTGTCTCGCTCTGCTGAGCACGCCAAGCTTTATAGAGGCCAATTTGGCCTTCCCTTCCAAGTGACCACGAAACTGCACACTATTCGATATGTCGACGCCAAGGATTCCGATACTAGCTGAGGCAGCAAGGGGAGTGCCTTGAAACTGAGGAGATACGACAAAGGGGTTCTTTTTAGCGGTAAACGCGCAAACTTGTGTCTTCTGGAGATTGAACTGGACTAGATTTAGTCGGCCCCAATCCGAGACTTTGTTAAGCAAAGACTCGACTTCAGACACAAGTTTGTCCCGGTACTCAGTGACGTTTTCCCGAGAAATATTGGCACGGCCGGTATATAAGGCATCACCAGTGCTGTCGTCTGCATAGCAAGACCAGAATGCACGGGTTCCCGAAGGAAGACGAACTAGCTTCTCGCCAATTCTGCCGATATGCTCAGACCTTGCCTTGGCAATGACGCTTTTGAAGGACCTGGAGGCGGAATTATACTTCTTTTTAAGTGCGCTGGTGTTTACATCCCGAGACGTTGATGCGTCAGCCCAGGCCCGGTAGTACTCCTGCTTATAGCGTGATGCTATTCTACAGGAGCGACCAAACCATGGCTGGGATCTTCCTCCGATGGGCGGAAATTTGGAACGGAATTTTGCCCCCCAATTTGCCCAAAGAATACGCGGGGCAGCCTGAGCACCCACGCTCAGGAGTGAAGTAGTTTGGTCGTGGATGCTCAGCGAGGGATTCTCCAGGGGTGCTGGTACCCTCCTGGGGTAGTCTTTTATATAATTCCACTATCATGTTGATGGGGGGAGGGGAATTGGGTCTCCGACTACCTGCACTCACCAAGCGCAACGCAACAACGATAGAATCTTCGCTACAACGATAGAATCTGCGAGCCAACATATTACCTCTTACTGAGAGAGCCCTACGTTCCCTTTCTATATCAGCGTCGTCTTTAAGGTCGTCAGTAATTATATGTCCCAGATATTTAAATTTTGATACACGTTGTATGTTCACGCCGTTCAGGGTAATGTTATTGACTTTATCGGGATATTTACCAGCGGCCTTAAACACCATGCATTCTGTCTTTTTTACATTGTATATGAGCCCGTGCTCAGCAGCATATTTCTCACAAATCCTTAGCATCTCGTTAAGACCCCCCGTAGTTGGACAGAGCAGTACACTGTCATCAGCGTAATTTATATTGTTGGTGCTTACTCCGTCAATACGGCATCCGACACGCATACTGCTCAACTTGATAATGAGATCATTAATATATATGTTGAAGAGTGTGGGAGACGTCAAGCCTCCCTGTCTTACCCCACTCTCCAACACATATTCTTCCGAGAGAGAGTTGGCCCATTTTACACAATTTGTCTGGTTGGCATACCAGAACTTAAATATATTTAGCAATTCAACCGGTAGTCCTCTGTCCTCCAGCTTTGCCCACAATATGTTATAAGACACTAAGTCAAATGCCGTTGACAGGTCTAGGAAACAGCCATACACCTGTGTCCCGCGATTAGTATAGTATTGGACAGTGTGCTTTAAACTTACAATTGCACTCTCAGTAGATAGCCCAAACCTAAACCCAAATTGTGCGTCGTGTAGCTTAGCTATTTTTTCAAGGTAAGAATTAAACACACCGTCCAGCACCTTAGCAATCGTCGTTGCCAATGAAATTGGACGATAATTTCTCATTTCTGAGACGTCACCAGTTCTATTCTTCACAATGGGCACCACAATTGTTTTTAACATTTCTTGAGGTAAATAGGAATGTCTGATACACATTGAAACAAAGATCATGTTCAATGTCCATGTCACACCTATGCCGGTAGTTGTTGGGAGCACTAAGCTCGAAGTTGTTGACGAGTATGTTTACCTGGGACAAATAGTCCGACTAGGTAAGTCCAACTTCGACCGAGAGGTCAATCGACGGATTCAACTCGGCTGGGCAGCGTTCGGGAAGCTACGACACATCTTCTCGTCAGACATACCTCAAAACCTGAAAACGAAATTGTACAACCAGTGCGTGTTGCCAGTGATGACTTATGGAACTGAGACGTGGTCCTTCACTGCTGGCCGTATGAGGAAGCTCAAAGTCGCCCAGCGAGCTATGGAGAGGGCTATGCTCGGAGTTTCTCTGCGTGATAAACTTAGGAATGAGGATATCCGCAGTAGAACCAGAGTAACCGACATAGCCCAACGGATTAGTAAGCTGAAGTGGCAGTGGGCCGGCCATATAGCTCGAAGAACCGACAACCGATGGGGAAGAAAGGTTCTCGAGTGGCAACCTCGTACCGGTAGGCGAAGTGTAGGGCGTCCCCCACGAGATGGAGTGACGACCTGGTAAGACATGCAGGAAGTCGATGGATGCAGGTGGCTCAGGACCGTGCTTTGTGGCATTCTTTGGGGGAGGCCTATGTTCAGCAGTGGACTTGTGAAGGGCTGTAATGATGATGATGATGATGATGATACACATTGTGAAAAACAGCGCCAAAACCCTCGGAAGATGAACACCAGCATGCTTAAGATGTTCAACGCTAATGCCATCATGTCCAGGAGACTTGCCACCAGTCATATTTTTAAGTACATTTCGCACTTGTTCAGCTGTAACATGTACTAGTTTATTTTCTCCCTGACACAAAGGCTTACTAAAAGTAGGAACCGAGGGGCCCAGTGGTGAGTTGACTTTAAAATGAGCCCTAAACATTTCTGCAATATGAGCAGGCTCATTCTCCCCCTCCACACTTGTTGGCAAACCAGACTTAACATCAAGCTTTTTTGTTGCCTTCCAGAAACGATCAAAATTTTTAGCAGATCTATATTTGGCCAAAACGTCCATTTTAAGTTGATCTTGATTTTGTTGGCACCATTTTAGTCGACTTTTGAATATTTTACGCGATTCGTACATCTGCTCATAGATTCTATCAGACTTATGCCGATTATTCAGCAACCAAACTTGATAGTTAAGCCTGGCCTGCTTGTGAGCATCATAAACATGCTTGTTCCACCCACATAAATGCCTGTTATTGCTCTTCCTTCCTCCACGAGTCTTCCGTTTTATTCTACTCAATTTTTTATAATTTATCCATTAAAAAAAATGGAAAATTCTCCATTGAATCGACCGCGCGAAATGCTTGATAAGCAAATTTCTTCGCCGGTGCGAAGTGCGAAGTGAATGCGCTAACGTATTTTTTATTAATTTCTATATCGTTTTCGTAAGAATTTTTTTGTTTAAATAATAATGAATGAAGAACTATTGATATCACTGGTCACACAATATCTAGACTTTCATAGGATAAACGAAAAAATTAAAAAAATTAACAGGATCTCTTTTCAAATCTGGATATAAATGATGAAATTCGCCGTAGTTATTTCTTTTCATATAAATGTCGTGTATCCAGTATTTGAGGGCACGCAGTTTCCTTTTTCTTTTCTCCTCTTCTTCAACCAAAAGTATTTGAAATAAAAAAATATCTTCGTCCGAGCTGTCCATGACGCAAAACGACCTATTTTGATGAAGAATTTGCGATGAATGAACAATTCGATTCGATTCTTCAGAGATGGACACCCTAGGAATAAATGCGACTCGCTTCGATTCGACGCATTTCTGCTGTAGTCGACGATTATGGTTAATGATAAAGTACTTTGGCAAAAACCCCTCGCAAGGTAATCAGCATAACCCAGTGTATCAATGCGAAGTTCTGCCATCTTGTACAATAATTTAAAAATAATGTAAAATGGGCCAACTCTCTCTCGGAAGAATATGTGTTGGAGAGTGGGGTAAGACAGGGAGGCTTGACGTCTCCCACACTCTTCAACACATATATTAATGATCTCATTATCAGGTTGAGCAGTATGCGTGTCGGATGCCGTATTGACGGAGTAAGCACCAACAATATAAATTACGCTGATGACAGTGTACTGCTCTGTCCAACTACGGGGGGTCTTAACGAGATGCTAAGGATTTGTGAGAAATATGCTGCTGAGCACGGGCTCATATACAATGTAAAAAAGACAGAATGCATGGTGTTTAAGGCCGCTGGTAAATGTCCCGATAAAGTCAATAACATTACCCTGAACGGCGTGAACATACAACGTGTATCAAAATTTAAATATCTGGGACATATAATTACTGACGACCTTAAAGACGACGCTGATATAGAAAGGGAACGTAGGGCTCTCTCAGTAAGAGGTAATATGTTGGCTCGCAGATTCTATCGTTGTAGCGAAGACGTAAAGGTAACCCTTTTTAAAGCGTATTGCCAAAACATGTACACGGGAAATCTGTGGACCAGCTATACCAAGAAGTCGCTGGACACCCTACGAGTCCAATATAATAATGTGTTCAGGATGTTGTTGCAATTGCCTCGTTTCTGCAGTGCATCGGCGATGTTTGCAGAATACCAAGTTTACGACTTTGCAGCCATTATTCGCAAAAAAACCACATCGCTGATATTTCGAGCGCCAGACAGTCCCAATAGCATTCTGCAAACCCTAGCAGATAAGTATACTTCTCCGCTTTGGGCCTGCTTAGTGAGAAGGGTTATTTTAAAACACAGTTATTTAAATTAAATCCAAATTGACCTCCTCTGATTTTATTTTGATATTTAATTTCATTTTGATTGTATTTAATCTAATTTAATTAAGACATTATTTGATTTCGATTGATTTTTATTTGATTTTTTGTTTGATTGTATTTAATTTTATTTTGACTTGTTTAAATAATGGTTTAAATTGGATTTCGATATGTAAAAGTGGTGCGATTTTGTATATTAAGTGTCTGCGCATGTGAACTATTAGTGGAAACGATGAAACATGCTCTGGTGGTGATGTGATTCTCAAGATAAGGTGTCTGTCTGCTTAGGCGCCTTGATATACCATCGCCAATTGTCAGCTGTCTGCTGGCTCAAGTTGCCGTCAAAATCTCCCAAGGGCTGCAAAATGTGATGCATCAACATATTGTGACGCAGTGTACTATAACGAATAATTATACATTGTAACTTCAAGCTCACAAGGGCTAGAACCCAGAACCGTAAAGCCAGTTATAAAAAAAATATAGAAACGGCGTCTGATCCATAGATAAATAAATATGTATATAGCAATGGTAGCAAGTGGGCTATTGAAAAAGTGTCCTACTATCTACTGAAAATAGAGGTTCCAAAACCTATCACAATAGCGCTGGAGTCTGAAAAACTACGACATGAAGATAGCTGTTGTGAACGGAGTGAAGTCAGCCGAATTCAAATATTTAAAAATTTCATGAATAGAGTAGTTAGTAAAATGCCAGTATACAAAATCTCAACTATTTACGTTGTACAAAACCAAGCGGATTGGTCGGTCCTTCTTTACTTCTTCATCTTATTCTAATTACTTTTGCCGTTTTTTTTTAATTTATCCTAGGCTACTGCAGCGCCACCCTTATTGGACACGTTTTTAGGGATACTTTTCATATATAAAGATGGTCCTCCTTCTGTTAAATTGTTAAACAAGAATGAAGTAAACATATGAAGTAAAAAAGGGAACAAAGAGAAGTATTGAAGTCTGAAAAGAGATATGAAAATGAAATGACTACTATGTATTATTAAATGTCCGAACTAGATGACTTGTCTTAATGATTAAGGATACGAATAAAAAATAACATAAATGTTTGCGAAAATCAAAATATAATAATATTATATTCTATTATGTTATACATAATTATGCCTAACTATGTCATAATATACTTCTGTGAATACTGTGTTTTTACTTGCGAGAGAGCGTTGCCAAACGCCCTGCTCAATCTCGGTATACATTAGATTGTAGTTTTTATTTTTATATATTTTTATGTTTAAATTTTTATTAAGATTATTCATCAATTATGTTTAGAATAGATTTGAGGTTGGATAAAATATAGATAACTTCATTTATTATGTACTTTTTTGTCGGTGGGAGGTGTAGTGTAGCTTCCACGATAGTATATATTAGTGTTGAGTAGGATAAGTAAAAAACTTCTTCAAAGTCTCAGAGTCTCATTCAAACACACTTATTCGGGAGGCAGCTAATTATGCAGCCCCACTCCCCTCTCGCTATCGCGTCCGCAGGCCGAGGAACTCCCTCTCGGACCCGCCTAATAAACTATCAAACGACTTGAACTGCCTCCTGGCGGCTCAGTCAAATTCATAATTAATTTTTCATAATTAATTTTCATTCATAATTGAATTGCCTTCGTAGGCACTCCCTCAGCGGCTTATAGCCACCTGCGCCCTCTTTTCCTAAAAGAGGGTCGCTTTCCATACGGCATAAGAAGCTTTAAACAGCTGGTTACCAGTCCCCAAAGGCGGTTTTTAGGGGGTATCACTTAGGTTCCCCGGTAGGCAGTGAGTCCCCCATAGCCACGATGGATAGCCTATCGTGGTATGCGTAATGCATTTTCCGCCTCCCTACGTAAAGGGTAGCCATTTATCCAATTGCTTCGGGAGCAAAAAAAAAAAATAAAAAAAATAAGTAAAAACAGTATAATTAAAAACTTAGTATCAACAACACGTCTCTCTCTCTCTTTCATTTAACACTTTTAAAACATTACAGTAGCTCCTGTGTTTCCGTTTAACTATTAGTGAAGTTACCATCAGGCTTTTTAAGAAGCCCGATCTGATTAGGTTTAGTTTTCGATAGCATTTTGTGTAGTCTTGCACTTCGAGGCAAAGACTCAAGTTCTTCGCATAGCTCCCTCCACATTGCTCTCATAACTTTCCTAATTTCTTTATTGTAATCGGTTAGGGCTGCACTATAAATATCCCATTCTTTGGTACGAGTCCGTTACCGACAGGTACCGAAGATATCATTGATATAAGAAAAATATTTTTCTCTCTATTTTTCTTATATCTATGGAAGATATAAAAAACTAATGTCATTTTGACATTTTGACAATGACAACAGACTGCTTGACATTGAAATGTCTCTAGTTATTTTGAAACATTTCTTGATTATTGTTCTTCTAAATTCTAAAAAAGAGATATTCTCATTTCCACCTCATATTTAATTACACTAATTCATGTCTAATAATAAACATTACACACAAATACATCCATTACAAGATAATGTTATTTTGTCCGACGTGTGCTAACATTCTTATGGTAGAAGAACGTCCGGAATCAGGATTACGTTACGCATGTAACACGTGCCCGTATGTTTATAATATAAGGAAAAAAGTATCTTCTCGGTCATTTCCTAAATTAAAGGTATCGTATCTAAAGAAAAATATTTATTACATTGAGTTACAACTTTGTATAGTTATACATGTATATAATTAAAAAATTACTTTTATGAAACAAATATTTTATTTGCGCTACAGAAAGTGAGCATAAAAATTAGTGTATAGAATGTAATTAAAATGTCAATTACATTGTGAAAGTCTTAATTCCAAGTCAATTTCTAACTCGTACAATATAAATCTATTAGATTAATTCCTGGTTTTTCCTCACTCATAATTTTTTTTGTTTGCGTAAGTTGCATTTCAATAGCTATTTCAATTTTCAAGTCATGTTATTTTTATGCAGATAGAAGAACAAAAAATATCTGTTTTAGTTCTTTAATATTATTTATTTTAAATTAAACTGGAGTGACCGATGATCTTACAGCCTACCTGATAGAAAGTGGCTACTGTAGTCCATGGCACCTGCAACTAACCTCACACAAAGAAGGCTACAGATGTATTGTCACCTCCAGAACTAAAATGGAATAGCCCACAGCTTGTAATTACACTGACTCTATACCCTTTAGATGGTAACAAAACAGTGCTTACTGCTATTTAGTGGTATAATTGATATAAGGGTGGTATTAATGCAGATGACTCCTAGGCAAAAATGCAGTCTTGCCACCTTAAAGTTTAATTTTGAGTTTTTTGTCAAAAAATTCTCATTAGCAACAGGGAGTCAGGTATTTGATTGTGTTTCATGTCAAGGTAAAGCCGTTTGTACTGCGCTTGATTCCACTGCCATAGTGTGATTACCATTGCATTGAACTATGAGAGTAAGAGAATAGAGTGCACTTCTGCTTAAGCATACACTTGTGTATTATAATCTTATCCTGTGCAGATGGGTCATCTCTGTTGAGACTGGCCACATTGATCAAAATTTGGTCTGGAGGATATTTTTATAACTAATATGTAAATATTAACTTTTCCAGGAGCTTGATTATATTATGGGAGGAGCTGCTGCATGGGAAAACGTGGATTCTACGGATGCAGTTTGCCCTAAGTGTGGTCACGGCAGAGCTTACTTTATGCAGCTTCAAACTCGTTCTGCTGACGAACCTATGACAACTTTCTACCGATGCTGTAATCACGAGTGTGCACATAACTGGCGCGATTAAAACACGAGAAAGTGTTAAACTAAGTTAAGAGTATGATTTTATTAAAAGGTCTAAATACGTTTTTGGCCAGAAATAAAACCGTAATATCAAAAATGAAGGTTGATAAAATGGCTGAAGTATTTAAATGTGAAGATAAAGCATATGCTGAAGCTGCAAAATTCCTAGAAAGTGGTCAAGTAATTGCTGTACCGACTGACACCATTTATGGGTTAGCCTGTAGTGCTAATTGTCCACAAGCAATCAAAAAATTATATGCTATAAAAGGAAGAGATTCAGCTAAACCTGTAGCTATTTGTGTTACCTACATTGAAGATGTACGTAAATGGGGAAAAGCGGATCACTTATGTGATGATTTGCTCTATAGCTTACTTCCGGGACCTGTGACAATTGTACTAGAGAAATCAAGATACTTGGATAATCCTTACCTAAATCCCAAAACAACAAAAATTGGTATTCGGATACCCAGATGTTTGTTTATGAATAGAGTTACTAAAATCTTTGATAAACCAGTGGCCTTGACGAGTGCTAATTTCAGTAATGAGCCTTCCACATTATCAGTAAAAGAGTTTGAACATTTATATAGTCATTTAGGTGCTGTATTTGATGGTGGAGTGTTAAGTGAAGGCTTGGAGCGGAATAGAACAGGTTCTACAGTCATAGATTTGTCAAATAGAGGCACATATAAAGTTATAAGAAAAGGTGTGTCTTTTGAGGAAATTGTTGCAACTCTAGAAAGTCATGGATTGAGCAGTATTTAAGATTAACTATATTAAGTGTTATTCATATTACATTAAATCTATTTAAACTTATATTTTATAGTTTTCATATACATCTTATTCCTCCTTTAACTGTTTTTACCATTAGTTTTCCAACATAGAACATTAAGTTAAATCCCTCCCCTCATTTCTGAGAGGGTTTTCTCTGACTCTGACCCAATGTATGTTGCTGAATTTCACATGTCACATACACAGACTTGCAGGTTGCCTAATGATGTTTTCCTTTACCACCAAGCAGGTGGTAAATCAGCACTTAAAATTGCAATTAACCATTTCTTTGGTGTCGGCGGGGAATCAAATCCGGGTTGCTCATGTACTGTGAAATTTACAGCGACCGCTAAACATCTGAGCTACCACGGCTCTTACAAAGAATATACAATACACAAAATGTTACCAATAGTTATTTTGACTTGTATTACGGGTATTTTTTTAATGAAATTGAAGTGACGAACGATCTTACAATCCATCTGATGATAATCTGCAGCCAATGGACACATCATGCAGCCAACTTCAAATAAAGAATGTTAAGTTGCAGCCTATTTTACATCCCACTGCTGGGCACAGGCCTCCTCTCATTTCTGAGAGGGTTTTAGGGCAAGGAGATGTCCGCCGCGCTGCCCCAATGCGTGTTGGCGAACTTCACATGTCTTCGAAATATTTTTTTTCTTATTTCTCAGACATGCAGGTTTCTTCACAATGTTTTTCTTCACCGCCGAGCACGTGGTAAATAAGCATTTAAAATTGCAATTAACAATTTCATTGGTGCAGGTGGGGATCCAACCCGGGTTGCTCGAGTACTGTGAAGCTTACAGCGAGCGCTAAGCATCTGAGCTACCACGGCTCTAATAAAGAATGTTACGGATGCATTATTACCTCCGAGGACTAAGATGAAATGCTTCACAGCCTGCAATTATACTCGATTTATATACTCTTTAGACTGGAACAGCAGTGCAGGCAATCCGTTTTGTCAGCAGAAATAGATGAGGGTGGTACCTACTAGCTTGAAACTGGTAATTCTGCTCATCATAACTATTAAGTGAAATTTGGTGGGTAACACTAAAAATGCAAATGTTTTTACAACTGTTTTAATTTAAAATGAATATGAAGAATAATATCAAACCATACAGAAAAAGGAACATGCTTGAAAACTTATTACAGGTTATGGGCACAAGAGACAGCACTAACAGAGAAGGAAAGGATGATTACTAATGCATAAACTTATTTCCAGAAACAGTACAAAGCAATTTTTTCACTACACTTACAGAATTTAAGAAGTAATTTGTTTTATTTTATCACTGATAATATCAATATATTAGTAATATAATAGTAGTGGTAATATTAAGTAAAGCAGAAAACACAACATATTATTATATTTTTCATTGTCTTGTTTACTAATTTACTAATAATGTAATAAATAATATTAACTAAGTATACACTGTTACTAAATTATAATGAGAACATTTAAAAGTAATTTTAAAAAAGCTTACACTGACAATTATCTATTGCTTATTAATAAAATTCATAAATAATTTATTCACATAGCTATACTTAGTGGTTTTCTACTTTCAGGTAGTTTGGCTTCAAGTTTTTGCCATCTGGCTGGTGGCCAGACAATAGAAACTGCCTTGGCGTTGATTAATCCTAAAGAAACTGGCCCAAATGTGTTACTATCTAGAGTATGGCCAGTATGGTCACCTTCTACCCAACAATGACCTTCAGGAATTTTCACATATTGGTTTTTGTAGCCTATCGTACTTACAACATCGCCTTGTAGTGCCACCACTCGTTTAATTATCTTCTGGTTTGGATCTTTGGGAGAAGACAATGATATTACATCACCTCTTTTGATATTGTAATCTCGAACAGCCCATCGTGATAAAAATACGTAATCTTTGTTAGTGGATCCTGGATTCAAAGCTGGCTGCATAGAAATGCCTTCAACTCTAGCCACATATCCAACAGTGTCCAAAAATGTTAAACCAATGGGGACGCCGAATAAAATAGATCTACTTATACTTCTGAGCGACATTACAATTCTACTATAAATTTGAGCCACATTCTCGTTAAATGAAATTTATTTCATTTTTTATTTAAACATGCTGAACTCTTTTCATAAAAAGGCAATACAAATAATGTGTATTATTATTTATTACCTAGTGAAAAATTAGAAAATTAGAATTCATTTCTGTTCATTTCAAGCAATTTCTTTTTTTTGGCTTAAGGGCTCCGGGTTCTAGGTTCTAGTTCTAGGTAAAAAATATCGATATATCGAAATGTCGATATTTGAAAAAAAATATATCGATATATATTTTCGATATTTTAAATCGCGATATTTATTTTAAAGTATCGAAGTCGTATCAATTTCAATATATTTTAAAATGTTGTATCGTTGTTTTCGTCGTCCAACCGTCAGTAGAGAAAATTTTGTACCTTATCTTAACATCATTCAAATGATGACGATATATCGATATTTATTACGCGATATATATCGATACTGTTTAAAAATGTAGATTTGATATATTTTTCCCCTTTGCCCATCCCTATCCCCTTTAGGGATATATATTATGTTCTGTGAAGTGTGAACATCCCGTCAGGGTCATAGACATAGTATCTTATAGACTAAACATTCAGTGACGTCATCTGCGTGTGAAAGGAATGCACGTATATAGTTAGACATAAGAGTAAGGGAGAAGCAAAACAATATTTCTTGTCTTTTTCTAAGTATACGTTTTTGATTGTTTTCCCTCCTTTATTTGACATTAACGATGTCAAGCGTTTGTGATTATTATTAATATTATAAGCAAACAGGTAATTGAATTCAGTGTTTTTCGTGGGTTTTAGTTATTAAGTAAGGTGAAAAAGATGGTAAGTTGTAGCATTTTAGGATGCAATAGCATCAGTCAACGAAAAATTGATAATATTACCTTTCATCGGTAAGTTTGTTTTGTGCTTACATTTGCTATTTGTACTGATTAATATCTGTTGTTTTGAATATAAAGTGTAACATTTCATGTTTTTAATGATCTTTGTGATGTATTTTGTCAAATATTTCGACTCCCAAATTGTAAATTCTTCATGATAATGCTCCTTAATTTGAATGGTCATTGCAAAGCTTAAAGTCATAACAAACGTGTACTTTTTGACTTGGTAGGATTATGGAAACTTTAGGGATATCACCGAGTACAATAATGTTTTCCCATTGTTCAATAATTATTATTATTGTGATTAGTAGTTATGTACATAAATATGAATCACATAATGTTATACATATGCATACACTTTTATGTTTAGCTTTAAAGGAAACTCTCCTTATTGGGCAATAATATACAACTCTTCAATCATTTTCTATATTAATAGATGTCACAAATAATATGTAATTATCAACCTGAAAACATGTTTGGGTTCCAGTACATAAGTATTGGACAAAGTATTTTTAATTTCACAAAATATGTATTGCCTGAAATCACATGCACAAAACTTTATTGTATTCCATTAATTCTATCATACATTAGCAACAATTACATTACAATATTTATTAAAAAATAACTAAATATGTCATACTTATATAAATATAGATAAAATAATAAATAAATAAATAAGTCTTAATCTTAAGGTACACAATAACACAACAACATAAGATAATTTTCTCAATTAATGATGTAGAAAAAATTTGATGATAATATATTTACCGTTACTATTAGTCATTATCAAAAGTCAAAAGTTATAGGTTTTATGATTGTTGTCTAGCTTGGCAGGAGGATTGGCAACTGCAGTTATTTTGCAGACAAACTACGTGGAAGGTCTATGTTCAGCTGTGGAGGACATTTGTTAGGCTGTAAATGTATTTAGAATAGAATAGAATAGAATAGAATGATTTTTATTCAATATGGATTATTACATAATACTTATTGAAAGTCATTATTTTATTTACCACTGGTTCGGAAAATACCTCTGTCCTGGGAAGAACCAGCAAGAAACCCAGCGGGACTTTTTTTTGAAACATAATTTCACTTAACAATAATTTTGTTTATACAATTTTAAATGAATTTTCATAGAACCAGCATGGTGGCGATCACCTTATTCCCAGGGGTTATTTTCATTCATGTATTCCTTGATATTATAATAACCCTTTTTGTACAGTTTTTCTTTAATATAACTTTTAAACTTGTTTATTGACAAACTTTGAACATGTTCTGGGATTCTGTTGTAAAAGCGTATACATTGCCCCATAAATGAATTACTAATTCTGTGGAGTCTAGTAAGTGGCATTACAAGCTTATGTTTGTTCCTAGTGTTTAAGGTATGAACATCCTTATTCTTATTAAAGCTATTTATGTTTTTATGTACATACATTACATTTTCATAAATATATTGCGATGCCAAAGTTAATATGTTTATTTCTTTAAATTTTTCTCTAAGGGACTCTTTACAATTTAGATTATAAATCGCCCGTACGGCTCTCTTTTGCAAAACAAATATAGCTTCAATATCAGTCGCATTACCCCATAGCAAAATTAAACTACAATAAAAAATATTAATTAACAATATCTAAAGCTTAATATGTACATTTTTTTAAATGTTTGGTATGAATAATATTATAATTACATTTACATATACCTGCTATTTAATTAAATCAATTGATATTGTATTAATTAGGTAGGTATTGTATTTATGCACAGATACTCATACTTGATTTTTTTTTAAATACCTTGATATAAAAGTGTACTATATATTTAATATATTAATTTCTTTTAAATATATTATTTTACAGCTTTCCTAAAGAATCAGCTATCCGTAATTATTGGATAATCGCTACTGTTGGTGATTATAGATAACCAACAAAACTTAGCAGTGTATGCTCAAAACATTCTGAGCCTCATTGTTTAGGCGGACTAAATATGCTTAATTTATGTAATTTAATATAATTAAGATAAAATATTTAAAATGTTATAATTTATTGTTGTGTCTTGTTGTTTCCCCATAAGTGATATAAGTTTGACCTTGTTGGTAATTATGATTTTTGACATTGTTCTGTATGTATTAAAAATTGAATAGCTTTGCTTAATTTATTTATGGTTCTTGACTTTTTATTTTCAAATTTCACTGTTATCATTCTGTATTATTATGACTTGTAATAATTTTATTGTAATTTATATTAATTTTCTTTGTGTAATTTGATTGCATGACAATGACAAAATATTTAATTATAGATAGATTGATTAAACATAAATTCTCATTTACAAATGTAGGAACTTTATCTGTACTACCATGTTTTATGCAAGTAAAGATTTAAATAAAATAAATAAATTTATGCAATAATAATTGTAAAACTGACTGGAAATGCCTACCAATGAGATATTTAGTCCCCCCCCCCTTAATCCTTTTTATAAAGGTGTTATAAACAATAATATGGAAATAAATTAAGAAATAAATAATTTATTAATAATAATTTCCATTTAATTGACATAAATAATGTAATAAAGATGTTTTTGACAAGAGATAGGTATTACCTATCTAAGTATAGTTAAAGTATAGTTTTATATATATATATACACTGCCTTCTAATCAGATTTTAACAACCAGCACCCAAGAGTTTCTGCCATGCAAAATTATAAATCAATTTTATAAATACATATTTTTCAGATATTCTAAAGCTACTCATACCAAGAATTACAACGAATGCTCTAGAAAGAAGACAAAAATTTGGTTGTTTATTAATGTGATGAAAAATTAATAAATAATCGTATATTTATTTTAATTTTATTGGATTATATTTAATAATATAATTGTGTTTTCATTTGTTTTACTTAATGTAACACTGTTAAAGTTTTTTTCCTTTACAGTCTATCTAAAGTCCACTGCTGAACATAGTTATTTGCCATAGTTGTAACGCTTGGCAAGCGGGTTGGCAACCACTGTTTTTTTTATATTTAGCTGTTCATCAGGAAAATGCTGCCGTTAATCTACTTTGTTTAATTCTTGTGTTTATTTTAAGTTTTCATCAGGAAAGTGCTGCTGCCCCATCCCCATCTTGTATTATTGCTTACGACGCGGGGTAGTATCATCCCGTGTATAGATAAATTATCTTTTATGCCACAACTTGCTGCACACAAGCCACTAACCTTAGTAAGACATGCAGGAAATCGCGGAAGTTGGCTCAGAACCGTGTTTTGTACTACAAAACCTAAGTGGAAACCTTTTCCTTTCGGAGGTCTGTGTTTAGCACTGAACTTGTGATGGACGTATGTTAAAACATTATTGAATTTTAACAACATAAAATTCGACACGAGGAAAGTTTTGATAATTAATTACCTAATATTTAAGTACATATTTTACATACTCCTACTTATTAACGATATCACACTTTGTGCTAGTAGCGTTTTCACTTAGTGCCGTCGAAATCCAAAGAGTTTATTAAATGTCCAGTAAAATCGTCGATGCGCTGTTGAATTCGGAATGATGATTCTGTTTTTACGTCGTTTCCGCCCGTAGTTTTTAGTCACAGAATGTATTTTCAAGATAAATGAATTAATCATCTGAATTATAAAAGAACATTTTTTTATGGTAACAAATAAGTTTTTTGTATGAATTAAGTGCTGTGAATATAAATAAACCCAGATTGGGGGAAACGGAATAATATCTGGTAACCCAGGGAAAGTACCTCCTGCCTATTTCTATCTCAAAAGCATACGCGAATGCTTTATCTAGTCAATCCTCTATCTACGGTCAGGGTACATGTATTCCACAGATAACTGTATACTAGTCAGAGAACACAAAGAGTATAGTAACTGTCATATACAGGAACATAATACTCTCTGACGAGAGTTTTAGCTCCGTTGAGCCGTAGAGAAATATAGATCTCTGTCACCCACCCTACCCCAACCTATGAATTTGTAGTATATATATAAAAAAAATTCTGACAGACGTATTTTAAATAGCACATCTCAAAAATGTTAAATATTTAAAGTGCAACCATGTAGTTTAGAAATAAAAAATAGTTAAAGATCGCTCACCTTATAACGTCGATAT